CTGCCCCTCGCTGCCTCGCTCAGGCACGCCTGCCAGCCTGCCCCCGCTGAGGGGGAGCCGGCGGGGGGCGAGCTGTGAGGAGAAGGCGGGAGGGGGGTGTGTGGCGGGGTGCTCTGGCCCCCGGTACAGCCCCCCGCCGTGTCGCCTCGCAGAGCTGGACCTGAATACCAAGTGCATCGTGGAGATGGAAGGGAACCAGACCGTGCTTCACCCGCCGCCTTCCAACAGCAAGCAGGGAGAAAGGTAAAAACCCGGGTCGCCGTGCCCCAAAGGAAAACCCAGCCCCGGTTGCTCTGCCTCAGCCTGGCAGAGGCTTCGCCTGGCTTTGTTAGGGGAGCGGCGGGGTCCCGAAGTTCTCGCTCGGTGCCTTTCAGGGGCTGCGGTGTTGGGGGGAGCGGGCGAGGGCGAGCGCCAGCCGGGGGGTCGCTGCGTTGGGCTTGCATCCCTGGGAAGTGAGGAGCGGACCTTCCTCTCCTGGCTTCCAGAGCGGAGCCGGGGGTACCCGCGCTGGGGTGTGGAGACAGAAGATCCCTACTGGCCTCCCAGGTTTAAAAGCTGATTTCTTGATTAACTGCTCAAAAAATAAGCTGTTGATTAGGTAAGGACTTAAACTGACCGTGCGTGCTGTTTTCAGGAATTTCCCTTGGGTGCAGGCTGCTAGTAACTTGATGGAACCTGTGGGGGAACAAGAAGCAGGATCTGAATTTTATGCTAGTGATGGTATTTTTTTTTTAAGTTTGTTTACTAGGTTTTAACGTATTTGCATTTGAAAAGCCCGTAATTGCTAGATCCTTTATTAATTCAGTGTTGTTCTGTGAAGTAGCCTATGAGAATACGCTAAAATAATTTTGAAATCTGGCATTTAGTTGTGATGCCCCAGTAAAGAATACCCTTGGGAATAATCCAAAATACCAATGCACTAGACTGTAAAAATAGATCAGAACAGGAAAAGATTTCTTCCCTTTGAGGGAGTGTGGGGAAAGACAGGGAGGTGTAAGGGGAATAGCTACGTTGCATGCTTATCTGTTCAGTTACCTGTTGACTGCTCAACTTAAGTTGATCTGTTAAATGTATTTAATGCCAAGAAGTGTGAAATCGTTTGCATGGTTATAGAGATTTTAATCTAAACATGTTCCTACTACTTGAGGTTTTATTAAGAATATTTTTGATCGAGTTCATAGGAGTTATGAAGAAACTGCAGTGTGAGACTATGGGGTTTTTTCAAAGATGGTATGTCACTCTTTTATAGTTTTCCAGCAGAAAAGGTTGAGACCTCTTCTATTTTTACATGTCCGAGATGCAAAGGTGCTTCTCGTGTTAATCCAGATACTGGAATATAGCTGTAATCACACCAGTTCAACTTTAATCCAGCTTGCATTGTCTTCAGAAGCATTGTTGTGGCTAATGTGCTGGCCTCGGTCTTGAAAGATCTGTGCTTGTTTCTGGCCCCTTTCACAGATCTTTGTGTGATCTTCTACAAGGCGTGCTGCCTCTGTGGATCTTAGCATCCCATCCGTAAAATGGAAATCTTGTTTTTCTTGAGACTATTCTATTTTAGAAAGTATAGGTTTTATTCCCTCCTGTTTATTTGAAGCGTATACATGGCCTCCATCACAGCACTGCTACAATAACATTAACTCTTTAAAGTGAGTGGATTTGACAGATATAAAACATGAAATACAAATAGAGTTTACAAAGCAAGAACAGAATTAAGATTTAACAATCATTATTTCAATAGACTAAAGAGCCTAAGGGCCAGATGATTTAATAAAGAGCCTGTAATGTGTGAATTTTGCTTGTTGTGCACGTTGGCCTGCAGGTATTCAGTGAGACTGTGCAGTGACTCTCTGTCTTCTGAGAGCTTGTGTGGCTTGTGTTTATCTGGCTGTAATTCCTGTAATATATAAAAATTCTCTTAACTTGGTTGGAATTGGCTTCTGGTTCTGCGCCAAGAGCCTTACGGGTGACCTGTGATGCTTGTGTGCGACTTCACCATTGACAGCTGTGTTGGCAAGTGATAGCTGTCCTGCTTCCAGCCCAATGTGAGGCTGGAATTTGGCTGGCTGCTACATGTGTAACTTGTGTGTTTGAAACAACTGCCTGATGTGTTATTGGAAATAACAGTCAGAAATACGAAGTAACTGGCAATAGTGCAAATACATAGTTTGGGTACTTTCTCAATGGCAAATGTTGTATGTAACCTGTTGAGATGCCTAATGGACTTTCTAGTGCCTTGTGAAGATCCTTACGTTTTCCTCAGTGCTAAACTGTTGATCTCTATTTTTTACTCAAGATAGTTTAATTTCTTCTGATGAAAAATCTGTTCTTCTATGTGTACCCACCATAAAATGTCTGTATA